CCCTGGAAACTCTGTAAAAGGAAATTATAGTTAAAGCAGTTAAGTGTTTTAAGCTTAGGGACTTGGCCATAACTTTTTCTATATAGTATGTCATTGGCAGCTCACAAATTGTCACATCATTGTTCTGAATTCTCAGTGAGTCTTTGTCTTTTCCGTGTAGATTTATGGAGAGAATTCTTCTTGTGCAGGAAGAGCACTGAGGAATATTATCATCGTTCAGGCAGCTGACCTGATAAAGGACAGGGTGAACCTCAAGGGATTTTACAGGTAACACAGTTTCCTAACACCTTGTCAGAAATTCTCCTTGAGAAAAAAACCCCAAAACATGTTAAAGTCATAAACTTGATCACAGAGAGATGGGCAATTATCAGCAGTAGGAGGGTTGGTTTGTTTGAAGTGTCGATTTGGGATACTGGTGGTGTGGTGACTTTTCTCTTAATTAAACTTAGCCAGAGTGTTTCACAGTTGGACTCCTGGTCTGAAGATAGGGAGATTACACCTGGAGGATTACAGTACCATAAAGAATAGGGAGAGTACTCAGAATAAATGATAACAAAAAAAGTAGGAAAGAGTCTCAGAATAAAGACATTTCTTTAAGTTAACTAAATTTAGCTTTATCACAAACTCATTACAGTCATTTTCGTTTTTTCCATTCGCCACAAATGGGAAAAATTCCATCATGGCCTGGCTTTTGGGGATAGTGGTTCCCAACCTCTCTGAGTAAGACGAGCCCCCCTTCTTTTTTTTGAGGCATAGTTTACATATAGTAAAATGCACAAATCTTAAGGGTACAGCTTGACGAATTTTTAATCATTACACACACTTACGTAACTACTATCCACATCAAGCTTTAGGGAGTTTTCACACCGTAGATAATTTCTTCGTGTCCCTTCCCTGTCAGCAAGTATCTCATGCCAACAACTTCTTTCTGATAAAAAAATTTGGCAGAATCGGTAATCTTGGCACCATTGACCAACTGTGTAGTGGAGGTGAGAGAACTATAATGAATTAACACTTTAAAATCCCATGTTAATTAATCACATTAGTATTTCCATAGGTTTTGACACATTCGGCATAGGTTAGATATGATTTATTCTGTTGACAAACAATGCTTTTGTGTATATGGAATTGTGAACCTCTTGAGAAAGCTCAAAGGTCACTGCCCCACCCTCCCATAAGGAATTCACAGCCCAGGGTCTGAAAAACCACTGGTTTAGAGCCTAGGCCAAGCAGACGCAACAGGCTGGAAGACGGGCTGTGGTGATTGTTGGATTACTTCACGTAGAGCTCCCCCCCTCCTTTTTTAAAAATAGATGGTGGTATCAACTTTAGACAAGTCTAATTTTTTTCCCCTTTCTTTTAAAAACTGACACTGCATGTATAGGCATCCCTCAGAGATACTGCAGGTTTGGTTCCAGACCACTGCAATAAAGCAAGTAGCACAGTAAAGTGAGTCACATGAGTTATTTTGTTTCCCAGTGCCTACAACAGTTATGTTTACACTCTAGTCCATTAAGTGTGCAATAGCATTATCTAAAAACAATATACATACTTTAATTTTGAAAATATTCCTAAACCTTGCTAACCGTTATCTGAGCCTTCAGCAAGTCATCACCTTTTCTGTTGGTGGAGGGTTTGAAATATTGTGATAAGTACCAAAAATGAGACACAAAGTGAACAAATGCCATTGGAAAAATTGGCACCAATAGACTTGCTAAATGCAGGGTTGCCACAAACCTTGAATTTGTAAACATAATATCTGTAAAGTACAGTAAATCAAAGTGCAATAAAGTGAGGTCTGCCTGTGTAAGTCTTTGGGTCTAGTTGTCAGCAGGCTCATAGGATTCATTTCAGTTCCCACGTGAGGCTGTATGTAGGATCTGTCCTTGTTCTCAGTTTTGTTTCTGATTGGATATAGATTGAAAAAGAATTGGGAGATGTACATTAATCCGGTTCATGGAGAAGAACCATCCATCCAAGTAAGAACATGCCTAGGGTTTAGTGGGAGTAGAATTTGGAGAGAGCATGAGTTGTCCTATTTCAGATTCCAGGTGCTCAGGCCAGAACCTCCTTTCTTTTATAATCTAAGGACTGATGAATGCTCTGGGTTTAGAGACAAAGTGCTAATATGATTTCCTAGGCTGGGTCCTTTTCATTTGTCTGGTAGTAAATTGAGCAAAGCTATCTCCACGTACCCCATGAGAATTACTTTCGCACCTTTGAAATGTTTTCCATTTATTTGGTACTATAGGAGAAATCATACTAGTTTTTTGAGGCTTCATGTAAGTGTGTAAATACCACTGCCCCACTGACATTTGAGATGAGGGTTCTCTCTGCACTACTATGAATTAATTACTAAAAATGTAACCGGAGACAGAAGGAGGCCAAGAGAAAGCGAATTTTCAACTTCAGAGATTAGTAAAATTAATGTTTTGTTATGGCAGTCACATTGGCCTTGGAGCCAGTCACCTCTATATCACAATGTTCCTGTCAAGTATGGCAACGCTAGTTAGATCTGCATGTACTCGGAACAGTTGCTGGATTCAGTACAAGACTGAAAAATACA